CCCTGTGGAGAGCCCGGCTTGAGGAGAGCAGAAGACGGAAGGATGCGGTCTGCTGGCCCCCAGCTGCCACGCTGGGGGGAGCCCCCGTCTCAGGAGAGGCCACGTTGTATTTTGGGTGATGGCCACTGTAGGTCTTCTGGTGGACAGCCCCAGCTGACTTCCCAGTTGACAGGTAACATCAAATGCCAGCCATGTGACTGAGCCACCTTGGACCCGCAACTCAAGTGAGCTTGTGCCCCAGACACCCTCAGATTGCAACCGAATGTGCAACCCCAAGGGACAACGGAAGCTATGCCAACCAACACCCAGAGCTGTTGTTTTAAGCCACTGAGTGTCGGGTGGCTTGTTTTGTAACAATAGATAACCAGAACACCCACCCAGAAGTCTAGATCCAAGCAATCTATCCAATGGAGTATAAAGTAAAGGCATTTAAAAATATTAAAGCTCTCAAAAGTTTTATCCCTCTTTTGACTTTATCAACAAGCATCGCCCCCAAAAAGGAGGTAAACTAAGAGAAAAGAAGTCATGGTATGTAGGAAATAGGAGAGAGTCTCTTTACTAAGGAGACCCTCAAAAAAACACTGCTGAGACAGAGGCTGCACAGCAGGCCCTGAGAGCCAGTCTCCCAGAGATTTGTCCAAAATTAACAACAGACTTCAAACCACACAGATCCAAGCAAGCAAACAAAACAATCCAGGCATATTGCAACCAACCCCAAAAAAAGAAAGAGAAAGAGAGAGCCTGGGTGCGGTGGCTCATGCCTATAATCCCAGCACTCTGGGAGGCCGAGGTAGGAGGATCGCTTGAGCTCAGGAGTTTGAGACCAGCCTGAGCAAGAGCGAGACCCCATCTCTACTAAAAATAGAAAATTTAGCTGGACATTATGGCACATGCCATGTAGCCTCAGCTACTTGGGAGGCTGAGGGAGAAGGATCGCTTGAGCCCAGGAGTTTGAGGCTATAATCATGCCACTGTACTCCAGCCTGGGTGAGAGTGACATTCTGTCTCTTTAAACAGCAACAAACCCCAGCAAGGGTAGGACTAGCGAGAGGCGGGAGGCAAGTGAGGCCCTTACCTGCAAGACTCACAGGGGCCCTCGCTGTCAGGGTCACGCCTGTGCAGCATTCCGCACTTGTGCGACCCGAGAGCTGCAGTGGGGAAGCCTGGCAGACACCCCGAGCCGGGGGGTCTAGGTGAGCACCCCAGTAATCCATGACGACGTCACATACCCCAATCTGATGCACCGAGAGGGGCACAGCGCATCCGGGGCGTCCCTCCCAATAATGCATGAACTCAGTCACAATAAAACGCCACGCAAACCAAACTGAGGACCATTCTACAAAACACTTTGATGTCTTTATTTTTTATGGTTAGAATTTCCATCTGGCTCTCTTAAAGAGCTGCAACTTTTAATAATGTCTTTTGTTTTGCTTTCTTTTCAAACAGCCTTTAAAACTTTTTATTTGAAAATACTTTAAAACTCACAGAAAAAGTTGCAAGAATAGTAGAAAGAACCACTGTGTGACCTTGTGCTCCGGACTGAATTGTGTTCCCCTCAAAATTTGTCTGTCGAAGTCCTAACCCTTGGTACCTTAGACTATGGCTGTACTCGGAGACAGGGCCTTTAAACAGTGATTAAGGGCAAGCGAGGTCATGAGAGTAGGTCCCAACCCAACGTGACTGGTGTCCTCATAAGAGGAGACACCACACGTGCACATGCACAGAGGGACAGCCGTGTGGAGAGGCAGTGTGAAGGTGGCCGTGTGCAAGTCAAGGAGAGAGGCCTCAGTGGAAACCAACCCTGCTGGCACCTTGACCTTGGGCCCCCAGCCTCCGGCACCGTGAGAACAATGAATGTCTGCTGTTTCGGCCACTGTGTCCGTGGCGCTCGTCGCGGCAGCCGGAACAGACGCGGCCAGCGCCGATGCTGCCAGCGCCAACGCTCTGCACTATTCGCTGTCACCCGCGTGCTTGCTCTCCACTCGCGTGCGTGGGGGTGCACACGTGTTTGTTTTCTGAACATTTTAGAGTAAGTCGCACATCATAGTCCTTTACCCCTAAATACCTGTATTTCCTAAAAAGAAGGATATTTTCTTACATAACCACAGCACAGTTATCACATTCAGTGACTTTAATGCTGACCCACCCAATTAGACAGACTCTACTGTTCAAATTACAATTTTGTCACAGGACCCAAAAATGTTTTTTCTAGTATATTTGTTTCCAGTCTAGGATTATGTATTGCATTTAGTTGTCAGGTCTTCAAACACTTTTATAGACTTATTTTAAAATCCTTTTGTGATTGTATCATCTCTGGTTTTTCAGATGTGATTTTGTCGCTTGCTGCACCTGTTGGCTCCTCCACTAGGGGGCAGGTTTCTTCCCCTCTAACTTTGTGAGTTCATTTGCAGCAAGAGCTGCCTGCCTAAGGAGCCTGCCCCTGCCAGGCTCATGCCCTGGGACGCGGGCAGTCTTGCGCTTGTCTCCACGGATCTCTACAGATAGATGCACTGGTTGTGGACCATTTTTTATGCTCGTTTCTCAGCGTGACGTTTCTGGACCACATGGGTGGCCCACGCGTAGTGCAGGCCCATGGTTCCAGTTTCTTAGAGATGACATTTTGCCCAGCGCTGGATTGACGTGATGGTTTGCTCTAGTTTCACAAAAGGGCAGCTCCTTCCAGGCTCCAGCTGTATGCAGAGGGCCAGTTCCAGAACCCTGCCGCTGGGCGTGGGGCTGGACCTGGACTTCCACCTCCAGGCACATACCTGGTCCTGGCCCCACTACGGACAAGTGAGCTTCAAGCCACTCGATATGAGGACCTGGTGCTTCATTTCAAGGGCCCGGATACCACATTTCCCTTATTTTGAACAGGGAGATTACACGTTTCTCGTGGCATGTGCACGTGTGTGAGCGTGTTGGCTCCCTCCACCTGCCAGCTTGGTCTGGGGCAGCTGCAGGCCCTGGCCAAGCCACGTAATCTACTCTCAACTCACCCGTCAGGAAAACGGGACCTAAGGTACCCACATCATAGGGTTGTCGTGAAGCTTTGCTATTCAATTCATAACCAAACCCCGTGTGACCTTCCTCGCCTTACCTGCCAACAGCCAACCAGACCAGACGGGCAAACGCCAGAACACAAAACCGTGCTTTTCCCTGGGTGATTTCAGTTTTATTTGTGTGTTTGTGTATATACATTTCTGCAATGAACATGAGTTACTTTTGTGATTAGGAAACAGCAATCAATTAGACATAAAACATTGGGCATCTGGCCAACTCTTTAAGTGCTGAGTGCCAGCTTGTGTGCAATGAAAGCTTCAAGACATGATGGGGACGTTTTTGCAGGGGGTCAGGATGGTTCTGGGGATGGGGAGGTAGCCATGGAGCACATTTTCCCAGCCCACACGTGTTTGCGGGTGGAGAACAGTGAAGGTAAAAGAGCGAATCCCACAGGGTGGACCCTGGTCACTCCCATGGTACTGCCTCGGCTGGTCCCAGAACCCAGACTCCGAGGGCTGCTAACCTCAAGCTGCTGCCCCATTCAGCAACAACAAGCCTTTATCGTGGGTGCCAGAGATTCTGAGGAACAAGCAGCCACTGCCCTGCCCTCAGCAGGCTCTATGATCAGGACAAACATCAAGCAGGTGACGGCGGACGCAGCTACTTCACTGCAGCTGTGAGAGGGTCTTTCCAGAAGGGCGGGGGCCACTGGGAGCATGGAAGAGTTTAGCTTGGTTCAGCAGGGAGGGCCCAGACCTTCTTTGAGAACCAGGTGCTGGGAACAGTCCCTGGGGAAGGGTTGGGTGGGAGGTGTCCCGGGCCCGGACCCCGGGGAGACACCTTGGTCCCTTCTCCATCTCCACACCTCCCAGCATGCCTTGTGCAGGACCAGGCCACAGGGCATGTCTGAAAGATTGAACAAATAGTGGAACCAACCAGGATTCCTCCCATTCACTTGTGCTTCTCCAAGGTCCTTCTCCACAAAATGGGGACAGGCTGGGGCCATCTAGAGAGTTTGGGGCTGGACATCTGCTTGGTGGTGGTTGGGGGGTGGGGTTGTCCCACAATGTAGCCACAGGGCCAGGACAGGATTGTTTCCTGGATGATGCCTGGTAGCCGGCCCTGGGATGATTTAAGGAGGGGGCAATCTCGGCTGTGGTGAAAGAGAGTTAAAGAGAGAGTTGGGGCTATCCATTAATACTTGGGACTGGCTGCTTTGCATAAGAAAGGACTGCTCCTCCCCAGTCCTGCTCCTCCCCAGTCCTTTGCTGTCTCCAAGAACTGGCTAGCCCAGCATTTTGGGAGGCTGAGGCAGGAGGATCACTAGAGGCCAGGAGTTCAAGACCAGCCTGGTCTTAGTGAGAACTCATCTCTACAAAAAATTAAAAATTTAGCCAACATGGTGGTGCTGAGGTGGGAGGATTGTTTATGCCCAAGAGTTCAAGGTTACAGAGAGCTGTGATTTTGCCTGTGAATAGCTACTGCGCTCCAGCCAGGGCCACAGAGCAAGACCCGGTCTCTTAAAAACATAAAAAATAAAAAAATTTGGCCCTGGGAGGGGAAGTCGCTCCAGGGGTCCATAAGGCCCCCAAATGCCAGAGCACCAAGAATACAGAAAATAAGAAAATATAACTGGCCCTCTGTGAACGGATGTCAGGCAGACAAATGCAGAATCCAAGAAACTGAACAGGCACCTCCTCTGGGCCAAGCCCCCAGCGAGCCCTTTGTGTGTTTTACGGCAGGGAATTCTCAGCGTGTTAATTCCCCTATTTTTTAGGCCCGGTATAATCCTCACACCCTGGGAGGCTGAGGAGTTCCAGATGAGCCTGACAAGGTGAGACACCATCTCTACTAAAAATAGAAAAAATTAGCTGGCGCAGTGGCATACACCTGAAATCCCAGCTACTCGGGAGGCTGAGGCAGGAGGATCGCTTGAGCCCAGGAGTGTGAGGTTGCTGTGAGCTAGGCTGACGCCACGGCACTCTAGCGGGGGCAACAGAGAGAGGCTCTGTCTCAAAATAAAATAAAATAAAAAATCCCCCTATTTTGGCAGCGAGGTGGAGGCACACAGCGATCACATCACTGCCCGAGGTCGCTCAGCAGGCCAGGTTCGAACGCAGCTGTCCCTCAGCACCTGGCGGCCGCGCGTCAGGGAGCTTCCCGCCGTCCTCGTCCCCTCCGCCCCCCCACTGGTCAACGCCTGCGAAGTGCCAGGAACCGCTACTTCGGACGCCTGCACGTTCCCAGACCCACCTGCGTCGACCGTCGGCGGCGTCAGGTATTTACGGAGTGCTCGGCCGCGTCGGAGCTAGACTCGCACAGTCGCGACGCCGGGGTGAAGGCGCGACGCGGGCGGATCGGCAGTTGGCTCGCACCTGCCCCGCGCCGGGCCGGCGGCGGGGTGGACCTGGGCGCTCGCAGCCCGTGGCGCGAGCCCACGCAGTCGGCGGGGGCGGCCCGGGGCGCGGCGGTGCGCTCGCCGGGTCCGCAAACCCCGGCGGGAGCAGGCCGAGGGCGGCGGGCCGAGGCCGCGCCAGGGCTGCCCCGTGCAGAAACGGCGGCGCCGGGTGGGCGGGGCACGGGGCGGGCCGCAGAGGGAGCCGAGCCGGGCTCCGGCGCCTCCCTGCCCGCCGCCCGCGGGAGCGCGGACCAGGAGCTCCTGGGGCGGCGCCGCGTCCCAGACGCCTGCAGCGGCCGCGAGGCGCTGGGAGCCCCGTGCTCGGCAGCCAGCTGGCGGCACGAGCGACCGCGGCGCGCCCCCACGCCCCGAGCGACCCGGCGACCTCGGCAGGCGCCCCGGCGGGGACCAGCTCCACGCAGACGCGGCGCCGCCGACTACGACTCCCGCCGTGCCCCGCGCGCGCGCCCCGGAAGTGGTCGTGCGGGTCGTCGCCGACCTCTGCACTGGGGGCGGGCGCGCCGGCGGCTCTGGGGCAGGGGCGGCAGCGAGGACCCGATGCGGGCTGGCGGAGGCCGCTATGGCTTCGGCTGGAGGCGGCCACTGTGAGGGCGCCGCGCCGGAGGCCGACCGTCCCCACCAGCGGCCCTTCCTGATCGGGGTGAGCGGCGGCACTGCGAGCGGGAAGGTAAGGGCCGGCCAGCCGGGCGCCTCGCCTCTGACCAGCGCCTCGCGCCGCCCGATCCGGAGAGGAGACCCCGGCCCCCAGCCGAGGCGCCCCTTGCAGGCGCAGGCAGCGGAGGGGCTGCGGGCAGCAGTGGGCCAGGGGCCGACCCGGCGACAGGCAGGGGGTGGGGCGCTATCCCTCGGGCTCTCCCCAAGCCTCCCTACTCGCCTGGCCCCTGGGGACCCCCGCTCCGTGCAGCCCCCCCACCACGTGGCCCGCGCCCCTCCCGCCGAGACCAGCCCCACCTGTGGCTGGCCGGCCCGGCAGCCCCCAGGGGGTGATGGGTCAGTGTCTCCAGAAGCCGGCTCCTTGCAGAAGCGCCCAGGAAAGGCCTGGAAGAGTTTCCAGGCAGGGACTTCTGTTTTTGTACCCCCCAGTCAACTGTGTGTGAGAAGATCATGGAGCTGCTGGGACAGAATGAGGTGGACCACCGGCAGCGCAAGTTGGTCATCCTGAGCCAGGACAGGTTCTATAAGGTCCTGACGGCTGAACAGAAGGCTAAGGCCTTGAAGGGACAGTACAATTTTGACCACCCAGGTAGGTCAAGTGCCTGACAGCAGCAATGTTGGGATAGGCCTGCTCACCAGCCTCAGCTTGGGCCCAGGATTGGATTTCTGTGAAATTCCCATGCAAGCTGCAGTGGAGGGGGCTGTGCAGTTAAGTCAGGAGGACTCTCCTGAGCTCTCTGGGCCCTGGGCACCCGCACAAGCGTCGCTGGAGCCAGTCGGGAAGCCTGTGGCACAGAGGGGCCGTGAGGACCACTGCACTGCCACCACGGTGGTCGTGGGGAAATTCACTCACCGTCCCTCCCTCTTTGCTGCACTGGGGCTTCTCACCCACCCCAGCCCCCACCCCGGCCTTGGGCAGAGTCCTCAGGCTGGTGTGGGAAGCAGTGCATAAACTAGAGCTGGTGGCCCTGAGCTCTGTTTCCTGGACTGCTCAAGGGCCAGGTAAAGAGAGAAACATGGGCAAAGAGAAAAACATGGAGCAAGGAGATACCATTGCTAGAAGATTCCACTGTGGTTGGCTGTCATTTTCAGCCCTTTCTCAGGGACATGTGGGAAAAAGGCCTGCAAAGTGGCAGTCTAACTGTGGTTATTCCCAGAAAAGAGAGAAGCAGAGGCCCGGCCTACCCACTTCCCAGTGACAGCCAATCAGAAAAGCCCCGTGTTCCAGCTTCCTGGTGGGACAGAGCTTAGGCAGTGGCACTGCCTGAGGGCAGCAAAGACAGGTTCATCCTGCGGTTTGCAACCAAATATAAACTGTAGCGGCAGCTCCTAGTCTGATGTTCTGGGTCCTTGGTGTCCCTAGCACGCAGCTGTGCTGACCCCGAGGCAGAGGGAGTTCCCTCCTGTCCACTGCACAAGGGTGGCTGGCTTATCTTGGTTTGTGCTCCATCCCTGCAGATGCTTTTGATAATGATTTGATGCACAGGACTCTGAAAAACATCGTGGAGGGGAAAACTGTTGAAGTCCCAACCTATGATTTTGTGACCCACTCTAGGTAAGCAGGTGGTTCCTGGGAGGGTCAAGGAGAGGGGCAGGGCTGGGCGTGCCCTCTGGGCTTACACAGACTTTCTGGTGGCAGGCCCTGCCCCAGGTGGTTTCTGTGGACACGCCACCCCTCACTGTGATCTGCCGCCTCCACTGAGTCAGTGTCCCTGAGACACGACTGAAGCTGACTGTGTGGCTCCAGAGAGCCTGTGTCTCCAGCAAGGCCCTTGTCCTCGTCTCCACCTCCAGGTTACCGGAGACCACGGTGGTCTACCCTGCAGACGTGGTTCTGTTTGAGGGCATCCTGGTGTTCTACAGCCAGGAGATCCGGGACATGTTCCACCTGCGCCTCTTCGTGGACACAGACTCAGACGTCAGGCTGTCTCGCAGAGGTAAGGCGGTGGGCGGTGGGGGCCGGCCGGCCTGCCCTGGCCCAGGGTGGCTGCACGTCCTGAGGCCCTGCTCCTGTCGCTGCAGTGCTCCGCGACGTGCACCGAGGGAGGGAGCTGGAGCAGATCCTGACGCAGTACACCACCTTCGTCAAGCCCGCCTTCGAGGAGTTCTGCCTGCCGGTACCCACCCTGCGCTTACTTGACAGTCCTGTTTCTCCCTGTTGAAAAGGACACGGGGTATCCAGTTCTGCAACAGAGCTGAAATTTGGATGAAAGTGATCTGATTTAAAAATGAAGCATTGAGCTTATTATTACAGCCAAGTACCCAGGGAATGGTTCTCAGTTCTAAACACATTCTCTGCACTTGCTCCTCCACTGTAAAAAGCCCCTCATCTCCCCTCGGGCCACACCACCACCCACACGCCACCACCACTGACATCCCAGCTCAATGCTGGGGACTCCTGCCAGCACCCTCCCCAGCTGCTCTGCCTGCTGTTTCCCCAGGGCAGTCCTCACCTGATGTTTTACATTTTCCCCCCTGGAGTGGCAACCCCATGAGGGCAGGGACTTCGGTGTATTCAATTTCCTACCAGGATCTGGCCCACGGTGGGCGCTTCGTAGCTGTCCCTGCAGGGCATGTGTCCCCCAGGATGCTGCGTGGGCTGGCGCTCCGAGGCCCACCAGCTTGTAGAGAAGGAATTCCCCGTCGGGGAGCTCCCTGCCTTTTCCTCCTTCTCGCACTTTTACTTGATGAGACTGTGGCTCTACTCAAATTGGAATGTTGTTTTTTTTTTTTTGGAGACAGAGTCTCGCTTTGTTGTCCAGGCGGCTAGAGTGAGTGCCATGGCGTTATCCTAGCTCACAGCAACCTCAAACTCCTGGGCTCAAGCGATCCTACTGCCTCAGCCTCCCAAGCAGCTGGGACTACAGGCATGTGCCACCATGCCTGGCTAATTTTATATATATGTATCAGTTGGCCAATTAATTTCTCTCTATTTATAGTAGAGACGGGGTCTCGCTCTTGCTCAGGCTGGTTTTGAACTCCTGACCTCGAGCAATCCGCCCGCCTCAGCCTCCTAGAGAGCTAGGATTACAGGCGTGAGCCACCACGCCCGGCCTAAAGAGAAATTTAAGAGTCTTTTGCCTCTTAAAGGTAAGAATACAGCACAAAGGAACCAGAACCGGGATTCCTGCCTTAGACAAATAAGTTCTATCTGCTGCTATTTAAAGAAAACGTTTTAACATTCATGTTCTCTGAAGTTTCTGCAAAGTAATTTGAAAAGTAAATTAGCTATTATAATCTCTCTTACTCAGAGAAAGACATTTGGCAAAGTAGGTGGTTTGCAGTAAAACTCTGGACACCAAATCTGACCAGGAGACCCGAGTAGAGGAAGTGCCATCATCTGTCCCGTCCTGGGCTGGGAGCCCCAGAAGTCATTCCAGGGCCTCCTTCTACCTCACATTTAGCCACTTGTGTGGTCCTATTCACCTGACCTCTTAAATATTTCCTGTCTGTGGTCTCTGACCCAGGAGACTTAAAAAAAAGTCCTGACCATATCCCTTTCCCACCCTGCTAGCGACCCTTACCCACCTTCCTTTCCTGGGCTTCTGCTGCCTCTGGGCTCCCCCTCCTCCCGCGCCCTAACCCAAGGGCTACAGTCCTTGCACTTGTGCTTCCCTGGGTGGGCCCCACTGCCTGCAGACACAGCTGTCCCCAGGACTCAGACCCTGCCTGCCTCTGAGGCTCAACTCTTGTGACATCCTCCTTGACCCAAATCCACAGGCCAGCAGCACCACACAGTTGGCAGGTCTGTCCCTCGGCCCGGATCTGGCCCTCCCTCTTGCCCCAGCTTTGCCTGGTTCAGGTGTGTCCCCTCACGGCACCCTCCTCCCCAGGTCTTCCACCTTCCAGCTGGGTCCCTCCCCCAGTGGCCCAGCATTGCCTGCTCGTTCTGTGTCTGCTGTCACTCAGCACAGTGTCCGACAGGAAACAGGTGGACACTAATGCAATTAATTAGAACAAACGTGGATGAAGGAAGGAAGTCAAGCAGGGGCACGGGCTGTCTGCACACAGAGCACCCGTGGGGACAGTGGGTTATGCACAGCTGTGTCCGTCCTTCCCTGCCTGTTCCTCCAGGGTTTTTGCAGAAAGGTGCATAATTCCAGAGGAACAATGTCCTGCATTGTGGGAAGTGCCACACTTGGCTTGGCCCAGTGAATTAAGTTGTTAGCACAGACAATTAAGTTGTTAGCACAGAACAACATGGCAGGGTGTTCATGGAAAAGAACTAGGACAGTAAGTGATTCAGAGACACTAGCAGTGGCAGTATCTTCTGTCTGTCTCAACTTCACCTTCTGCCTCACTACCCGGGCTGCTGTCTCACAGGGTGGAGAGCTGAACCCGCTCCCCATCTGCCAATGATGCCGACATCTCTGAGCACCCCAGGGCTGTCCCTCCTGCTGTTGCATCTAGTTCCAAGCACCTAACGTCACCTTGGATGGAAAAATCCTCATAAAAACCCCCTTTGTGCCTTGCAGACAAAGAAGTACGCAGATGTGATCATCCCTCGTGGGGTTGACAACATGGGTAAGAACCTGGCCCAACGGGCTGCCCGGCTCTGGCCCCCCTCCCCCAGAGCCACGAAGCAGGGGCTGTGACACCCTTTTGCAGCTACTGGGCATTCCCAATGCATGTGCTTATCTGTGGCACGGGTTTAAAACATGCTTTAAAAATTATTTAAAGCTGTTTGGCAGGGATTGTCACTTGTTAGCAGAGCGTATTTCAACCAGGCTTTGACATAAACCCTTGGCAGGGGCCACATCAGTAAGTCTCACTGTGCGTTTTTCTGCTGAGATGAGACACCAGGCAGGTGCCCACACGTGAAGACCTGTGCCTCCGTGTGTGGCAGTCGGGTTGTCACTCGTGGCCAAATGCTGCTGCTGGGAGTGGGGAGCTCGGCGTGCCAGTGGTGGCCCTCCTGCTGGCGTCACGTCGTGCCGAGGACGGACGCGGCTAACCCGCTGCTTGTCTGTCTTCTGCCGCAGTTGCCATCAACCTCATCGTGCAGCACATCCAAGACATCCTGAATGGTGACATCTGCAAGTGGCACCGAGGGTCCAATGGTCGGAACTACAAGAGGACCTTTTCTGAGCCAGGAGACCACCCCAGGGTGCTGACCTCCGGCAAACGGTCCCACCTGGAGTCCAGCAGCAGGCCCCACTGAGTGTCTGCCAGGGCAGCTCTCTCAACAGGCACGTGCATTCGGGGACTGCGCCTGGAGGTGCCCACCTGCCTCTGGGAACACCCACTGCTTCCTCTCCGTGTGTGTCCCAGGTGGCGTTAGGCTCCAGGCCTCCCGTCCTTGCGAGTGGAAGCCGGACGTGTCGTTCACACTCAGTTTGACAGGACTTTGACAGGGTGTTCCTGAGGTTCTCACCTGCTTCCTCAGGTCTTGGGAGGTTTAAAAATCTCTTCGGGTCACTGAGAAATGCCATAGAACGTGTTGAAAGCCTAAGCCCGAGCTTGCTTCTGCCAGGAGCGCAAGTCATGTGTAGTTGGGGAAACTGAGGAAACAGCTGGGGTGCCATGGCTGGCCTGCTGTTTTTGACAGGGAGCCCAGAGATACGTTTTCCAGTCTGACGTGGTTCACACACACGTGTAACTAAAGTGTTTTATGAGAGAAGACTTTCCTCTTTCACGTGTTGTACATCTTAATGATTTCTGTTTTCTTCTATACCATAGCACAAGGCTGGCTGTGACCTATGAGCCTAGTTTTGTGGTTGCAGTCAGGAGTGGCAAACACCGATGACGGGAGCCACAGGGGGATGGCTCCCTCCCCTGCGTGTCAGAGGCAGAGGAGTGGCAGGAGGCTGGGGAGCAGCCGCCACGCACGGCGGGCAGGGCCTGTAGTCCAGGCCGTGGGCGCCTGCGTGGCGGGCAGGGCAGCGGCGGTCGGGTCTGTCCCAGCTGGGACACGTGTTATCTGCGCACAGTCCTGTCCTGGGCCGGGCCCTCCCAGCCGGCACCAGAGCCCGAGCCCAAGGTGCTGTCTGCGGACAGGCTGTCCCCAGTGCAGCTCGCGCCACACCCAGGGCCGGGTGCGCCAGCCAGCACACGTGCCGCACTGCAGACGTTCCAGTGGGTGCGGCTGCCCGAGGCCGCCAGTTCCCTCACGCCAGTCCTGAGCTCACGGCCTCACGCACGGCCCGTGTCCGCGTCCAAGCCGGTCTTCCCTCCCACATGATGGCGGTTTCTGTGAGGTGCCCCTTGCCACTGTCGCAAGCCAGACTGAACGGGCGGCTCTGGGCTTCTTTCCGTCCCGTGTCACTCACCGCAGTGACGCAGATAGGGGTGAATGTCGGAGCTGTGACGGTTTTGTCAAGCCTACGCCCTTTCGGAGGGGAATGAATAAATAACACTGAATGTAAATGCCAGCGTGTCCTTTCTTTAATTACGTAAGAAGAGACAAAGTCGGGACAAGGAAACGTGTGGATGACACAGACCTCGACTGCTGAAGGTGCCGCTGTACGCGTACGGCTGTACAGCTCTCACAGCGCCGAATCCCGCTGTGCTCTCATAGACGGCGCTGTCCACACGGCAGGAGGGCGACAGAACCCGCGGAAGCGGCCTCCATGGCTTCCCACGCAGGCGGCTTCTCTGGCCGGCACCGCCGGTGACTGCGCACAGCTGCTGGAGGCAGGGCTGGGCCCGCTCGGGCTCGGGGTGTTGGCAGGGAGGATCAGGGCCATCAAACCTAACACCAGCCCTGCGGCTTTGGCAAAGGCCAGCCCCACCACTCTGCTCGTTAAACAGACTGACAAAGGCCTTCTGCCTCGTCCTGCCCTAGCACGGGCGTTCTTCGCGGGTTCTCATTCTAGTGTTTTCGGATCAAGATGTCCCAGCTGTTTTTCCAGCGAAGGGCCTTGAGTTCATCTGGCGAGAGCTCCTTGTCCCCATAGGTCAGGGGGCGCAGCGCGTTAGACACGTGACACGCAGAGGAGCACCAGGCCACAACCAGGGCGCTGAGCAGGTTCCTCTGGAGCTGGGACCTGCAGGTGGCAGTGCCAAGCAGGGTAAGGACTGCCGGCTCCTCGCAGCCTCCCCGCCTAGTGGCATCTGCCACTTGGCATCTGCCTCCACGTGGTCACCTCCCAAGGCATGTGGCTCTGCCCCCAGGTGTCTAGGCCTGTCCTGTCCTTTCCGTTTCTACTCTCCCGCCACCTGTGACCATCTACTGTCCGGACGTGCCGAGAGTGACCCTCCTCACAGGACTTCTAGAAATGCCACGGCTTCTGGGCCATCAATGCGGACGCCAGAGGAGGGGCCCCGAGCCCAGCGTCAGCCCTCATGGGCCTGGCTCCAGCTTTCCCAGGTCCTCTCTACCACACACCGCACGATCAGCCATCGCCCAGCCGCTGTCGAGAGCACGCCTAAGGCTCTCTGGTCCTGGCTTTCACTCCCAGCGCCTGTGTCCCTCCCCTTTCCCATCCTCCCAACCGCTTCCATTGCCAAATCCCGCAGTGCCATGTCCGAGCCTCTGTGGACACTCGGCCTAGTCCACGCTACGGAAATCGGTGGTCATGACCCCTGGACACTGCTCGGGGCCTTGCCCGGGGTTGAGGGGTTTCCGCACAGCAAGGGCTGCTGCCTGAAACACCCAGTGGCCGTCTGCAAAGGTGCAAACCCCCGTACCTGCACAGGTGGTCGTTTACGTGCTGTAGGACCACGGGGAGCAGGAGGATCTGGAAGGAGAGCGCAGGCAGGTAGTGGTAGAGGAAGAGCGTCTTCTCCATCAGGAAGAACGGGAGGTAGTTCACGGCCCAGCCCCCGGCGCACACAGCCCCGGCCAGCACCCAGCGCTGCCAGGCATCTGCGGGAGAGGGCGGATCTGAGGCGCCGCTGACCAGTGGGCTCCATCTGGTCCGGGTGCCGATTTTCTCATCTTAAAGTTACACGCACGTCCTCAGTTCTCAATTTGTCTCACTCCCCCCCAACCCTCCCCACTGGCTCTGAAGGAAGAATGAACTGTGTCGTGACACCTTCGGCCGCCTCTCCCAGGTCCCAACAGTCCCCTTCCCTGCAGAACACCAGCCAGTCTGCGAGATCACGGATTCCCTGCTGCAGGTGCAACCCCACCTGGGCCAGTCTGGTCTCATCTGGGAAGTGCGAACTGGGTCTGGGACTGGGGGCTGTGTGTGTCCCCCAAGCCCAGCGCCCCTTTGGGGTATGTTCCTGGTAGGCTGGCTGTCACTCAAGCACAGCGCGCTGCCACGGGCACGAGAAGGAAGAGACGTAAAGGCGAGCCCGGTGTGGGCAGCACTCACCCTCGGGCAGGTCACAGATTTGTCTTCGCCGCCGGAGCAGGTACCACAGGAAGAGCAGGGTGTAGACGGCCGTGGCAAGGCCGCCCGAAGCCCAGATCACCACGTTCCCAAGCAGGTGGATCTGCGCCTGCAAGCATAGGGAGACGCTGCTGGCCGCCTGCCCTCTGCCCAGGGAGGGAGGGCGACTCGCCACACAAGTTCACGTGCGCACTCTGCTTCGGCCAAGAGGCAGAAACGCCCAGGCACGTCCTAGTGTCCTCTCGACCGTGCTGCTAACACGCACGTCTGTGGATGTGGCCGTTCCTAATTAGACCTTTCTAGAAAAGTGCTGACACTGAATTTGTAAAAGGGAACTGCAAACTGGGGATGAGATTCACTTTGCAATGACAGTCATCTGCGGTGGGAAAATACACTCCTGGGGTGCAATGGCCGCTCTTCCTGGCGGGAGGGTTTCTCACGGAACGAGACAAAGCTACGGCTGCCTTGAGAGCCGCTCACTCACGCTGCTCCGGGGGTGCAGCCAGTAGGCGATGTTGGTGTCCAGGGTGACCCACTCCAGCGGGGTGGAGCTGTACTTGTGCTCCGAGTCGTCGCTTCTCAGCGTCAGCATCCTCCACTGGAACAAAGCAGAGGCTTTGATTCGAGAGGACAGTCAGACGCCTCCAGTCACACGTGGGTTTTGTCAGAGGGGCTGGAATGAACTGCTGCCCCTCACATAGAAATGGCTCAACCTCAGGTTCACAGGGACCATGCAACAACAGAAGCGGCACAAGGAGAATCTGAATTCTGGCCCCAGCTGTGGCCTGGGAGGGTCGTCCCACCCCATGGACTCCAGTCACCTCCCCCGTAGACTAAGTGATCAGGCTCAATGCTAAGGCCACGGTCAGATTCAGGGCTCTCCGAGTTTCTGATTCTGACTTCTCTCGGATTGTTGTATGTGGAACGTAGCCCATTTCAACGTGGCCAGGGGGCTTGAAGACACCCTGGCCATGCCAATGTCCCACCGATCCAGAACCTCCCTGTCTTCGACTTTTCCCAACTGCAGAGCCACAAGAAAGGGGCCAGCAGTGCCATGTAGCCGCTTGTGCTGAGAGAGAAGACACTCTACGCTGCTGAGCCTGGGGCTCCAGTGCAAGGCCTGACTCGGGGAAGAACTGTGCAGACCGCAGTGCTTTCCCTGGCAAGGTGCCAGCCGCCGATGAGCAAAGCTGGGCTTCCCTCTGGCCGTGCATCACCTGCAGTTCTGAGAATCTGGCCATGAAGCTGAGGTTCCTGCTGAAGTCGACCTGAGTAGGGGAGTGCAGCTCCAGCTCCCTCTCCTTCTGCTCCTGGCCTGGCAACACACGCAGCGCAGAAGACAGGAGCAGAGCGTCAGGGAGCTCAGAGCAGGAGCTGTCGGCTGGGCACAACGCCACCCTCCCTGCGGTCCCAGGAGTCCACACCACCCGCATCCTTTCCCGTACCCCGTACCGCCCTCCCAGGGTCGGACTAGGCCATTCGGCCCCTTTGGAGGCTTAGTGTGTGCTGGGAGGAATCAATCGCCTGCCAGCGACACCTCCGAGGAAGTATCTTGGGGCGTTATGGCTGCAGGTAAGCCAGGGAGGGACGATATTGGTCACCGAGCACGGACAGCGCGCCCAGGTCCCACCTAGACGGGAACCCTGCTTTGGCGTCTGAGCAAACCACCCAGCGACCGGAGGCGAGGTCTCTGGAGCAGGGCGCCGCTCACTCTGGCCGTAGCGGTGCTCCTCCACGTTCCACGCCGTGCTCCCGTGGTAGCCCCGCGGCAGCTTCTCCCCAACGACCTCCAGCTGCCGGAACCCCCAGTCGGGGAGGTGAGCCCCGCTCAGCTGCAAGAGAAAAGGGCGTGACGGGAAAGCCCAGCCCGCTCCGGCTCCCGCTGGCAGGGGAGCCCACCCTGGGCACAGGGCAGAGAAGTCCCCTGCGGGAGGGGGCGTCACAGTGGGATTCCGCCCTGAGAAGTGACAGCAACTGCCTCCCTCAGCGCAAATACACACGGCCGGGCCTTAGCCAGGGTCTGCTGGCCGGAGCGGCGCGGCTGGGAGCTCCCAGCCAGACTGGGGTTCGCAGCTCAGGACGGCGCCTTACCTTCAGGATGGCCGACGTGTTCACGTGCACAAAGCGCACCTCCGACAGGATGGTCTTCCAGACGTCTGTGTCCGATTCTCTGTTTACAATTTCCTGCAAAAACAGACCTTGTCGATGATTTCCTCCCTTTTCAAATTTCCTTGAATGTAAAAATAAAGACCAGTCCCCAAACAGTGACGTTAACTTCGGTCTAAGATACGGGGCCAAGCCCACAGCAAGAGGGGCTGCCAGGAGGTGGCGAAGGGCTTGTCCCAGACTTTCTTCCTGACTCCACGCCACCGTGCAGGTCCGAGGCCGGCGGGAAAGCAAGGCATCCTTGCAACGGCCGCCGCCCGGGAGAAGCCTCCTGCGGGGATGCAGAGAGCTGGTATTTGCTGCACCGCGCTCCGGCGGGAAAGTGAGCCCTCCTCAGGCGTGCCCGATGAGGTCACGTGCCTGCTGCACGTGTTCCCATCTTACTGACAGGAACCAGAGCACCAGGACGTGGCGCCCGAGCCAGGAACCCAGGGCCGGTCCAGGCCCTCCCTGTGGCTGGGCGCCCACTCTTCGTCTTCGCCTGCTGGTGGACGTCAGCTACTTGGAACAGGACGGAGGAGGAAGCGGGAAGGAGAGGACGGATCGGCGGGGGAGTCTCGGGCAGCAAGCTGTCAGAGAGGGAGCCCCGCAGAGGGGGCGAGACTCTCTGCAGCACTGTGCCCCGGAGGGCGCCCAGGAGAGCTGGGTGCGCAGAGCTCCTCAAGGTGGGCCCACGGGGAAGACAGAGGCACGGAGCGCAAACAGGCGGCGCACCGAGCAGGCAAAGGGGCAGAGGCGCTGGCTGTGCACAGAGACGGGGAGTCAGCGGACACCTGGCTCTGCTGGGAGGAGGGCGGGTGGGCGGGCACGCCCGCGCCACGCACACCGTCCAGAACCAACACTCGGGTGGGCCGGTGTCGGCAGGCACTGCTGCAGCCGCTGAGACCCAGGAAGGGGAGCACGGCCTCACGTCAAACAGCC